CTCTCTCCCAGGAGAAAGATCGGGTCCCTGAATCAGCCTACATTTCCTCTCCCTCAGGAAAGATCAGGGCCGCATGGGCCATGGGAGAGTGGGTGGGATATTTATAGAGGTCTGCTGAAACAAAGAGAAAAGAAGAGAAACAAGTGATCGAAGCATGTAGAACAGGTGCCACAAAGTGGACTGCAGGAATCCAAGCAGAAACAATATATCCTGAGTGTGCTGTTAAGTTTTATACAGTTTTAATTATCATCTGTGCAGGAAGCTTTCTGGATCACTGCCAGTTTTACTTTCTGACAACTGCATGGTAAACCACTGGCATCTCACAGTACTAGAGTATAATTACAAAAAGTTTTCAACAACACTGTGGCCTGACATGCAACTCTGTTTCTCAGAGAAACTTTGTGTATTGCATGTTTAAATGATGAAAGTATAGGTCAGATTTGTGACTTGAGTTCCTTGTTATGTCCTTTTTTTATTAATATTCCTGTTTGCTTAACTACCATTCCCAAATTTCTGTATGCTTGGATGACCTACACTACCATTCAAAAGTTTAGGGCCAGGTTTCCCCCCCCCCCAAAGAAATCAATAGTAATCTCAGTAAGGATGCATTCAATTGTGTGACAGTAAAGAGTTTTACATTGTTACTAAAATTTGTTTCATAGAACTTATTTTGAACTTGCTATTTATCAAATAATTCTGAAAACTAAAGTTCACACACACAAACACACACACAGCAAATTCTGGTCTTTGGAATAAACTCCCTGGTAGTTAAAATCAACTCAATCTGAGTGTACATGCGTGACCATCAAATAGACTCCAGCACAGAGTTAAAATAACTCCGCTCTTGGAGTTGAATTTTTAACACTTTTTCAGAGTTAAAATTTAACTCTTTCTGGAGTTAAAATACTAATCCTACGGAGAGTAATTATAACTCTAAAATTGAGTTAATTATAATATGAACTCCTTATCAGTGTTAAAAATCAACATTTAAAAAATATTTAATTTAACACTTCTTAGAGTTAACATTTATTTAACACAATAAAATGTTTTATGTGAAAATGACTACACTGAATGCCATACTCTTGACTTACTGCTTTTATTTGAGCAAATCCATAGATTAGGTTTAGAAATTCCATGCATGGATACACTTCGAAAATAATTGCGGTCATAAAATACTGTAAAATCTAACAGCAAAACATTTACATTAAATACATGCAGCCAGCTAACAAAGTGCCAACTAGAAATGTTTAGTAAATTTGTATAAAACATTGCAAACAACACATCGCTGCATTATATAAAATCAAGCTTGCAGGTTTATAAAAAAAAAGTAGTGCAGTATAGGATTGTGTAACCTGAGGAAGACGCTTATACATCAGATGAAGAAACAAGGAACAACTTGTGATACCAGGACACATTCCATGAATTGGTTTGAGGTGCCTGAACAAATGCAAAGCTGAACCAAAGGATGAAGTGCAGAGGAAACAACTAAATACACAAAATAATGATCTTTAAAAAAGCATCATATGACCCCTTTAACATTTTGGTTGAATAAGACAATTACTGCTTGTTCAACAGCCTTGCTCTCAGTTCTTTGACTTTTGGATTCTTCAGATGTATCTATATCAATTTTGTGCATTTTGTGTCTGCAAACGTGTACAGGCTGGACAGAGCATTATGATAATTCACACTGAAAACTAAATTGGACTTGCTCAGTCGAGTACCCAAGGATGTACATGACTGACAAGGAAAACTTTTCTGTCCAAGACAATGTAAAAGGTGGAAACCTGTGCTTTTAAAGACCCTGAAGCAAGAAGATATGGTTGAGGGTTTCCTTAGTGGGTCAAGAGATGATCATCAAGACTTTGGCATGACTGAAACACAACACAAATGTCCCTTTATAAACAATTTGTTTAAACATAGGCATTACGTACAATATTTGGAATAGGATAGAGCTGTCTTAACAAACCTTATGAAATTTCACCAGATGATATGTTGCCTCTCCAACATTGATCTTCTTGGGCTGCTTTCTTCCAGCTGATTGTGGAGTAAGAAGATCCAGCAGGACAAGTAGAGAAGCCATGTCACTGTTCCATTCTGGAGTCAGAAAATAACAGTAGTTATTTCAAACTAGTCTGTTTATGGCATCTCTAAGTTACCCCTGTGTATTGTGCATCATAATATCTTAAAATTACGAACTATTAGTGGGGTAGTTATTATAGTTGTGCTGGAGAGCAAACAATTTTTAAATTTCATACTTACTGTGCATGCCCAAAGCCAAGGGAACTGTTACTCTTACTATGTTCTTACACGCATCATGTTTTTTTTAATGTAAATCGTTATGAACAGCATTCCCAAAGCATGAATTTACTGATGAGCTTTATTAATAGACAACATTTTAAGAAATAACTGTATTAAGTGTTTTTCGCAGAATTTTTGGGAAAAATGCTTTTGGGAAATAATCAATAAAAACTTTTTAAAAAGAAGATTGATTGACTCAAGTAACAACATTTCTATTTTGATGATGACTGTACCTGGATCATCATTCAGTACAGCTTTCAGATGCCGTTTTAGAAGAGCAGTCTCTTTAAGGTTCCTGGCCTCCTGGATGACTTTTTCTTTAAAACTGGTGTTCCATTTTTCCAGGAACTTTGAAGCAACCTCTGCTCCAAACATCAGTGAGAACTCTTGCACAATCTAATTAAAAAAGGAAAGACAACCATTCAGACATCTAATGTAACATAATATTTTTTTAAAATAAAATTTCACATTCTCATTTAATACTTACAAGTCCTTTGACATCCAAGAAATGAGGAAACATTTGTAGTACATCAGCTGATCACTGCGGGTCGGGGAGAATCTGTAGTGGAATTTACGTTACACAGTCTTTATACACCACTCAAGAAAGCCTTTGTTGCTCTGAATGTCATAGAAATGTAAATATAATCTAAGAGCTGCGTCAGCAAAACTATCATATGTTCCAAGGTGGATATTCCCAGGGTCAGACAAAATTATCACATTACATTTAACTATGCTTACTACAAGTAGTGAGAGTAACAACATCTGTCTGATTTGAGGAGGCACCAAACTCTGTCAGGTCTGAGAAGTCAGCAGAGTTCATGGAGGTTTCAGCAAATAGAAGTTGTGTGAGTCAAGATACAAACTCTCAAATATTCTTAAATGTCCTACCATCATCAGTGTGGATGATAAAACACATTTCTTTGGTTGTTGCAAGTTCTGGAAAGACATCCTCATCCACCTCTATGCAATGGTCATCTGTGACTTTCAATGTTGAATTCTTTGGTATCAGAAACTTCTGCTGGACTACACAATAACATCAACATGTTATTTACAAAAGAAATTACAAAATTACTGCTACTTACTCTTTATTAACTGAATACTAAACATATAACTCACCTGTACTGAGAAAATCTGAGAAACAAACACCTTCCAGTTTTACATACTTCTTCACTCCACGTTGCACTTTTATCAAAATCGTGACCTGACATTAAAGAGAAAAAATTTAATTTAAGATAACAGCTAATGTTAGTGTGATTGAGAATGCAAAAAAAATGTTTAAGCTGAAAACCACGCACTCTCATGGGTCACGACTAAAACGTATTTATCAGCTGTTACAATTCAAAACATTGCAGGCCTACACTTTCACAGCTCAACTATAGCCAGGGTAGACACTGCAGTTTAGTAACCACGTATGTAAAACATAAGGCTATCTGACAGACATAAGGCTGCATTACTGAATAAAATGTATTACCTCGTCGCCATTAGTTTATGGAAGCTGAATAGGATGTTCCTTGAGCTGAGTCACCACTTTAATTTGATGGCAAAACACTCATTTTCAGAAACACGGAGAATGGAAAAACGGTTAGCTAATGTTAGCTCCTTCACATCGAAAAAAAAAAAAAAAAAAAACCCCCCGGCTATCTGACAGACATAAGGCTGCATTACTGAATAAAAGATATTACCTCGTCGCCATTAGTTTATGGAAGCTGAATAGGATGTTTCTTGAGCTGAATCACCACTTTAAATTTGACGGCAAAACACTCATTTTCAGAAACACGGAGAATGGAAAAACGGTTAAACTAATGTTAGCTCCTTCACATCGACAAAAAAAAAAAAAAGCCCGCACAAAACATGCTCGGAAAAATTTAGAAAATACGAGTTACGTTCAGCATCAAGTTCACCACGATCATTGACGTTAGTACACGGTATATAACGTAACAGCTCCGACAAAACGTGTTTCAGTCAGAAAATATCGAACATTTTGAAAAAAAATTATATTTAAATACGCTTTTACCTACCTCACGATGAAGTACAAGTCATTTGTGCTGCAGAACCAGGGTCGTGTCGTGGCGCACTTCTCAACATTTAACTCCAGATGTGGTGTTAAAACACGCTCCTGAACACCAATTAATGAACTCCAAAATAAAACACAGCCAGGGAGTATCCCATAACACACACTGTAGTCAGAGTTAAACAATAAACTCCAGAAATCTAACTCTTTCACTCTTTTTTGCCTAACTCCTGATTTTTCAACTCCAGAAATTTGCTGTGTAGCGATTACATTACCTACAACACTGCTTCAGTGTTACTTTTACTGTCTAGACATCAGGGCCCGTATTCTTAAAGATTCTAAGAATCCTCTCAGAGAGCTCCTAATTTAGCTTAA